AACAAGTTTTCACTCTTCACTGTTTATTATATTTCTGCACAAAAACTTAAAAAAACTGAAAGAAGAGGGAAACAGCAGGCCTTCATTGTAAAACTAATGTTTGTTCAAATAAACACAGTAAAATATTAGCAAAGCCTGGAGCAAGAAATGCAGTTCTTAAACATGCATGATTGATGACAACTGCAGCAACGTTCTCCATCTTTTTCAGTATTTCATTTGCAGGGAATCCCATGTTTGACGAAGTCTGCCAGATCAATGCTGATCTAAATCCTTATCCTACTTTTACATAGCCTGCTAACATAAAATACTATTATCTTCACAAGTATTTGTTGACTCTGATTATCAGATTATCAGATGCAGAGATATCTTGATTTTTTTACAAGTTCTACTGCAACTGAACTGAGAGAAAGTTGAACACCAAATGTTGTCTAAATATATGATTTACTTTTTCTGTGAAATCCCAAGTGGCAGCAACTGATCTATTTTGTGTATGTCACTTCAGTACCTCTCACTCATTCACTCTTTGACAAATCAAAGTAGAACAGGAGAAGGCAGAAGCAGGTCTCACTAGAATGGTTAGACAAGAGCAATATTTGAGAGCATGACTCATCCCTTTCTCGTTGCTCTTCTGTCTCTGTCTCATTCAACATTTCTCACTGTTTCCCACTGAATCCTTTATCTGAAGTGCACAGCACAGATTCACTGGTCAGGAATATACAATGAGGAAATCACTCATCTGATCAGTCATTTTTGAATAATTTATAATTACCCAAAATATGTTATAATCAGCCAAAGTTCTTCGCGAGTCAGTTGTTGCAAAGTTCATGATTTTTTAGAAATTCATCATATATTGCAAAATTTTACTTTCTTTTAGTACATTCAGTTAGTGTTATGTGCACACAGAAGTTACTTGTTTGTATTTCAGCAACTAGACATGGTCAAAAAGAATTGCTCGGTGTACTGTGTGGTGTAGAAGTGACATTCAGCTAAATACTTTAAACTAATGACAAAACTAAAATGCTTCACTAATTTTTCATTACTACAAAAAAGTACATTATATTGAAACATGGCAGACCTTTGTAGCCAAATTAAATATTCAAATCTGGGACAAAAAAAAGCATTTTGCTGACCTAAGAAGTGGTCATTAGTGCAATGTCGATGTGTTGAGCGGCAGGGCTTACAGTACATGCAGTCGCTGTTGTGTGAACACAGAGATTACCAGTCTGTATTTGGCTGACTGTCTGGCAATGGATGTGGACAGTGCAGAGGCACCATGAGCGAGAATCCAGTTAAAATTAATAGCCACTGTTCAAAGTTACTCCTGAAGCTGTTAATAAAGCTGAAATGGTGAGTTTGGACTTAAAAAACAGTGCCTATCTCCTGACTTCCTGTGTTTGCCACAGTATGTTCATTCGACTGACTTTGACTGAATTGTGCAGAAATAAAAGGCAGCTGAGTGAAACAACAGTGCTGGAGGTGATAAGAGTCCAAAATTGGAAAATAAAATAAATAACAGGGCTCCACAGTTTTGATAATAAATGAGAAACTGTTATTGTTAGAGGAAAAGTTTCACTGATTTGAAGTCAGCGGAAGAGAAGTTGTTTTGGTTAGCTAACGTATACAAGTCCAAATTGGAAATTACAGACGAATCGCAACTACTTAAAGGTGATACAGACAGAATACAACATATCCTCCTTTTATGAGTGGCAAATATAAACCTCATCAAACTGAAACAGAAACAGACTTTTAAATGGATTTGTTTATACCTCTTTTTTATCTAAACATCGCAATCCTGAATAACACTCTGTGGTATGAGACCACACGCCTGGCAAGTTAACTGATGCAAGAATTCACTCATCCTTACTGGCTCAGCACACAGGAAGTGACAAACGGCAGCAAAAGGCCAAAGTCATGGTCACCTGGGGTGAAACCCACGCAGCAGCAACAGCAACAACAACGACAAATTATTTTCCAATGTTCCAGTGTCGCATCACAAACACGCATCCGCACATCTACATGCACAACCTTGATATTGCACATGCACAAATTTGTCAGGAGGAACGCGAATGATTGGCACCTCACTGCACAAGTTCCTATTGAATGGAGAGGGAGCGACATCACCGTCCATGTGTCGACCCCTTTACTGGAGACATGAATGGGAAGAAATGAAGATTTTTGTCATCCAACTGCCTTAGTAGAAAAATAAATATGTTGACTTTTAACACATCCAAATTTTTACATAATTTGGGTGAAAATTAAATGGGAAGCCATATTGTGAAAAAATCAACATCAAAAAAATTACTCGTTTTACAAACTGCTCATCAAAGGAGGTGTTGTACTAGACTAAAACAGGCACAGACTGGGTAAAATAAATTTCAAAACGTACAGCACAACCTGAAGCACAGCCAGATGATTTAGTTATTCTCCTATTCTGCTATCACATGGATGGTATAAGACAATTTATCTTGTCCCAAAAAATAACAGGGTGGCAGCAAAGACAATAGAGACTTATCATTCCCAGAAATCAAGAAGAGTGAAATAAAAATACATCTAATTTATATTATACAAAAATTACAAATCAACAAGGTTTTTTTTTTTTCCCCATTTGACATGCATGTGTGTACATACACCGATACAGGTAAACACATGTTGAGAGGCAAGTGGGAAATTGAAGATGGGACAACAAATGCAAGGTTGGGAACTGCAAGCATATCATAAAGTTCAGCTTGTTGTCACAAACAATAACAATCCTTATTCTGCCACAATATGTCAGAAATATGTACAGTTGTGTTGTATCAAGACAGAAAAGCAATATCCAAACTAGAACCCAATGCAGAAATTATTTGTTTATATCAACAATTGCTTATTGTTTCCTTCAGAATAATATGCAGCATGGTTAATGTCTGATTAAAACCCTGCTGAACAAGTTTTTGTGACAGATAAAAAAAACAGCAGCTAGATAAATTCACAATGCTAATTCTCTGGCCATCTGATGAGGTTTAATGCATTTCTAGTAAATTTTCTCTGCATTCCACTTATCACACCCACTTGCAACATGAAAATGCATGCAGGCTCAAATTGGGTTCAAATTCTCCTCTAATTACACAGCTTTGCATATCCAAAAGGCTTTTTACACTTTTATCCTGTATGTTTGTAGCTTTTACAAGCGGTCATACAGAAAAACATCTGAAAAAGACTCACAGAGAGGGAGAACAATATACAAACGCCAAAGAGAAAGAGGTAAGAGTACGACTGAAACTTCAAATCACAGAAAATTTCTTTATTTTACTTTGTGGAGGTCTTATTTTGAGCATGCTGGTTCACAGTCATGGTTTAGTGGGACACTGAACGCAACTAAGCCATCATTAGTGTTATTAATTCCATCTGTGCATTTCCCACTGTGACAAATTAAAAAGTCTGCTGTGAGAAAGGTCTATGCTCACACTCTGCCAGACCGTCTAAAACTCATAACAGAATTAAAGAGCCTGTCTATGTTCTGCTCTGTTTTTTCCTTTCTGACCACCTTTCTTTGTCAAAACCGGTATCTGGCAGAATTACCCCTTCGAATCTGTTAACCAAAGCCTGCAGATTTACAATGTGGAGACAGAGATTACTGTAGCCGTCTGGCCCATCTGCGCTCTGTTCATGTCTGAACTAACACAAAAAAACATCACTCTGCTCACTACAGGTAGATTTCAAAAGATTAGGACATCATGAAAAAGTAAAACAAAAATGTTTTACTAATTTTAAAATGAAAAATGCATATGTTATATTAATATGCAGAAGAAATTAGATTTCTGGGAGTCACTACAGACAGCAAACTGGAGCAGTCTCAGCAGATTGAGCGCAGCTACAGTGATGGGAGGACAACCAGTTGTAATAAAAAGATATTTAAATTATATACTCTTAAAATTAATGAGATATTGTCAAGAGGAAGATGAGAAAAGCCTGAACTAACAGGCAGATGAGCGGATGAGCGGAAAGCAACCTGGCCTTCCATTATAACTCAGGAGTGTCACAAGCTGAAATACTCCAAATCTGTGTGCTACAATTATCAAAATTACAAAAACATGGTTGAAATATGTCATGAATCCATGTGAGTTTACCTTTTGGAGGAAAAAAAAATAAAATTTTTTGATTTCACTGTTTTTCACCAACTTAGATCTGACGAAATGACCAAAGAACATTTCTCTTTTTCAAATTTTTTATGCAAAAATCAGTGTTGTCCCATTTATATGTAATATCTAATTACAGAGAACTTTGTGGAAGAGCACATATTGCCCTTATATAAGCCTCTCAATGGTCCACACAGCCTCAAGGGGCTAGTTCAATTACACATGAATGAACTATAAAATACAGAGAAGAGCTTTTACTATGTGGCTGTTGATGAGCAGCACATTAATGTTAGTAATAAAACTTAACAAGATCCCTCAGGACACAAATATCTAAATGAAATTATAGATAAGCAGCAAGGAAATACTTTGATTCATCTCAAAGAGCAAAGTAAGTGTAGCAAAACAAATTGGAGTGTTCTTGTTTTTGAGATTTTAAATGTCAGTACTATTTTATACGTTACACGTCGACTTAAATGGCAAACGTATTTCAGCAAATTTTCTAAATCATCGCAGGACTTTTTACTGATATATCTGTCCTCGCAGATGTATCAGGCATGTATCTTACGTACAGCAAAATGCCAGGATATCTGAAAATTAGCACTTATCCTCACATGGTTTTAGCGGGGTCAGGCAGTGAGGTGAAGAGGGAATGGGATGGGGTTGTCCCATCTGATCGTCAGTTTCCGAAACCACACTTAAAAACCATCTTGTAAAAGCGCACGCGGATCAGTCAGACCGCGGGCCACGCCGAACCGTGTACAGAGTAGAACACTCTGTACATTTTTTGCCCTGTCTCTTAAGAGCACCAACATCTTGAACAGAATAGTTGAAAAAACATCCATTTACATTTTACCACATGCTTTCTCTGCAGCTGCTTGGTCTTACCTTAGTGTGAAGCTTAGACAACTGCTTTTCATCTATGTAGGTCTGTGTGTAGACACGCCTTTTATAGCGGAACTGAAACAAAAGAGCAAAATGCATTTGACAGTTTAGGTTTAATGTTTTTGTTTGTCTAGATTACTGAAATTATAAAAAAATTAATTAATGAACCCTTAACTTGTTTTGCAGACAAAATAATAAATGTAATTGTTTCATAGCTAGCCCTTAAAGAGAAAGGGGAGCAGTGAAAAAGCAGGAAGTACTGTCAGAGACATTTTTACTCTTTTAATGTGCTGGGGGACAACAAATATCTCACTGTAAACACCTGTCAGCACTTTAAAGCATTTTTGGAACGCCTATAACTCATGCAAACTTTAGTACAAAGTTTAATTGCAAAACCATAACAAACAAATTTCAACTTTACCAACATAGTAAATCCAGAAGCGAACAGAGGATTTTCAGTTGCTAATCCAAACCTGTCAATCATCTCTACACAGTCCCGACCTGAGGGTATAACTGCGGGTCAATCAATGGCACACACAGTGTTCCAGCACAGCTGTGGCGGACATATAAATATACGCCCTGCTAGATCCACACCTATTCAGCTTAACTGCAAGCTTTTTAAAGTACAACTACAAACCATTCAACAAACATAAAACAAGAGAGGAACATTTATGTAAGAACATTTATGTGTGTCACTAATGCTCTGCTACCACTGAGCACTTCAGCAGCAACAAAAGACAAGCTTCACTTCTTCCTGGCATTTCTAATTGTCCGTATAAACTAATGAAAATAAGGAGTGCAATTATATTGAGTCATAATATTTAACCCGTATACGGCTAAATAACATGAGGTATTTCCAAATGAAATGCTAGAATAATGTTAAAAGTCATCAGGATTATTGTTTTTCTCCTTGATAACGCTCCGCTCCTGTTGACACGGAGGTAATTCTGAAAATAAACACGACTTCTCGTAAAACCACCTGACAACTTTAGCCTTCACTCTGTGAAGTGATTTTATGTGCATGATATCCTTTCAGATCACAAACTGTGACAGACAAGCACTACAATTATCTCTAAGAGATGACGGCTGCTCTAAACACCACGCTGCCATTGAGGATAGCATTATTGTTATGAAGTTTGACTGACACACCATGACAGCAGCAAACAAACAAACAAACATGGAGACAGATGCTTTGTGAACCGGTGCGGGAAAAATAAAAAAAAACACATTTTCTTGCAACAATACATACTGTTATTGATTATTTACAAGATGGGCTTATTTTTTAGAACAGATATGAATTATCGACCCAGTTGATAAAATGCCATGTTTTTCTAGTGTATAAAACTTAGTCCAGCATAAATGACGTCAGTGTTTACCACCTTTAATATGACATATACATTTGACAATTCAGCTGTAAAACAAATATTAGAAGAAATTATCAACAAATTTAAATCACGTCATAATTTGGTTCCATAAATATCCACACCTTTTTAATTCAGTTTGAGCATCCAGTCTTCTTGTGTTCATACAGTTGATATTAGAAGTTTATATAAGGACCAGATTTCTCTTGCATTAGGTCAAGCTAAACTCAGAAACATCAAAAATCATAAGGACAGACAATCCTGATTGGGAGCATGAGAGAAATGCATGATACAGTGATGTGCACCCCTTATTTTTCCTACACAATGTTTCATGCATACACATGATCAGCACCTACCTCTAGGTACGGTACAGGAGCAATGGATGGGAAAGGGTATTCCCTAAGCTGTCTCTCCTCATCCAGAAACTTGCCAGCCTTGCCATTGTAAGCCGGCTGGAATAGGCCATAGTTGAGCACATCCTTCAGGCTCTGGTTGAGGGTACACAGGATACGTTGCTTGGACAACCATATCGGTGCATCCACGTTGAATTTCAAACATTTCTGCAGAGACAAGAGAAAGGAAAAGAAAAAAAAGAAGATTAATCACCCTTTCATTTTACTATTACTCAGCTTTTATCGAAGACATTTCAGAGTCCCTATTTACTGATTTCCATTAGGTGATAAAAGTGTTTATACTTAAAACTGCATGAGATAAATTTAATTTGAGACACGTATTGAACTTGCTATGACTCAACCAGCTTGAATAATAACTAGACCTTCAGTAGTGATAAGTAATTCACAGTGGTGCAACTAGACCATCCAAAACAGATTACAAAAGGTCATTTTCAATGCCAGCTGTGACTGTTATACTGAAACAAACAAAACTAAAAAATAAAGGTTTTCACTGAACACTTTTTCCTTAGAGAAATTAAGCTGCAGTAAAAAAATCATTTAACAAAGTTTAAGGAAGTTAATTTTGCTTGCTTTAATTGCAAGAATGTAGCACTCTCTTATTATATTGTCATGGCTGTAAAATAAGAGACAGAAAAAAAATCTGGTTCTTCTGCTTCCTCTCGGTGGTCCTACTGCCATCTACATAAATGCACAGCTCTGCATCAGAAACAACCAATCAGAGTCAGGAGGAAGGACTTTGCCATGTCAATCACGATTGTGTATGCACTGCTTAAAATTGCCAGTTTGATGCAGCTAATGATGGAAAAATAACTGACCAATACATCAAACTTGTTCATCTTTCGCAATCGGTGGTCTTTCTTACTGGCCTGCACACTCACAGCAGGCGCCGTGAAGGAGATGTGGTGCAGCAGAGCAGTACACAAACAAGCTCTGATTGGTTGTTTCGAACTGAGTGATGTATTTCTGCAGATTCCACGGAGCAGAGAAACAGGGAAGGCAGGGGAACTTGATTTTTTTTTTCCAATTTTATCTGCCTCATATTAAACTGTTAGTGACAGTTTTAACAAATATCTACAAAACATACTTTTAGAGTGTCATGGATCATTGCAGCAGATGTGTTTTAGTCACGAATGAAACACTGCAAAGATGTTAATGACCGTGGGACAGATGTGAAAAACGGCAACCACTTAACTGGAGTCAGATAAATCATAATTATTATGTGATGCACAAAATGTAATCAAATTTATAAATTCTCCATATCTAAAGTCTTGGCAATGTATTTATGAATTGATCATAAAAATATCTCCTGTTAAAATTGAGGTTTACTTTGTTTTAAGGAGCTCGTCTATAAAAAGAGAGGAAGGGCTTTGTGCATTAGGCACATTTTCCAACTTGTACCACATCGTGGAGCTGACACTACAGATGGTGCAGAGAGAGGAAACATAACCCACGAGTTATAAATCTACCAGTGTTGTCTGTGTCATCACCACAACTCTGCCCTATTCACCCAGACACAATAACTGAAAGCACATCTTTTCACTACATTACAACAGAACGACCCCATGCTGATGTCAACAAGCATGTGCACAGCTGTGAATCCGTTCAAAAACACTCAGCATGATAAAACAAGATCACTACTAAAGGCAATACTCAAGCTATACTGAGATTTATAAATGACATATCCTGCTTAATTTGCTCAAATCCAACAAAATCACATCAAATCACCCATTTACATAATCAGTTGGATTCAAATACCTTTCACTATTGACATCGCTTGAAAGTTAATTGTGTCTCTTCACTCTTCAGTTCCTGGAAGCATGCTATGTCATCTTGTCCCAGCTAAAAGCTACAAGATAACATTAGCGACTGATATATACTGAAAACATTTACACCAATAATTCAAATCGCTATGTCTTGTTCCCTGCCAGCACCACCTTACCAATTTGTTGAAGTTGTAGGAAGTAAATAATGCATTTCTACATTTCTCAATCTTATTTTTGGGGCACACATCTGTTTATTTATTTATAGATCTGTTGCTTGAAGCTAAAACTAAATTGTGGCACATTTGACAGCTGATAGCAAATTATCCACCTTTCCTACAACTATGTGACAGAATAATGTCTGCCACAGTAATTTAGACATAATATTGGTGCCAGATATTTCTGAAACTGATAAAAACACATATTTAACATTTCTATGGTGCCACTTTGTCTTGATCAAACATAGCAATATTTAATTTCATCCCACTCATTATTCCTTACCAATTAACCCATGTTATTTTAAAGTGCAATTAGCCCTTTTTTAGAATAATACCCATGTAGGATTACCTAGATAAGTGAGCTATGGTATTAAAATTAACTGTACAACCATATATACATTTTCCATTTCACCTGAAAAACAAGAACGAAACCTCATCAGAGATTAAGCAAACAACATTTCATGGTGTTAATATTGATGCTGAGCTGAGCTCCAGGCTCTGAGGAAAGGTCTGGGTGTGTCTCCCGGTCAGAAAGCAGCAAACTGTTCAGTCCAGATGGAGAAGATTTTCAAAAAGCAAGCATTGTGAGAAATGCTGAGAACGTTACCTTGGAAAACATACAACTGGACACCAAGGCTTGTTTCAAAACTTAACTATATCAAAGCATATTGATTAGAAATGTAATGTGTTAAAGTTGTGTTATTTAAAATGAGTATTAAAAGTCATGTTATTTAAAATTCAAGCTGCAAGTGGTAAACTATACTATACTTCCAACATTAAACCTCAGTGAAACTGCAAATAATTTGACCCTTTTAATCTAGAGACTTTTGAACCCCAGCTTCTCTGGATGTGTTATAGCAGAAGAAAACTCTCTATGTTACCCACTATTTGTCATAATACACAGATGTAATACAAAGCATATTAAAAGTCTTTCATATTTATTGAACATTTTAAAAATGTGAACATATAGTATTTTATATCTGTCTAGCAGCAGATGATTCAGGTTTTGAAGTAACAAAACTGCTTATATTACCACTTATGAATAGCTAAATATTTATAAAGCTTTGAAAAGATCTTTTAAAACACAAGTGATTTGTATGTACAGTTAAACAATTACATGAATATGTACTTTTCTTAAAACTAGTGGTCTATCAAATATTCATTTTTCATCTGCATGCTTGTAACCTGACTTGGAGTGTTTACATTTCGTTTCCTTTTTATGCTCTCATTCCTCTGACAGAATACCAAACACTATGAAACACTGCACACAGGACAATTTTCAGGATGGACGGCAGAGGTTGCTGCCTGGTGAGAGAGAAACTAAACACTCAGAACACAAAATATGCATGGATCAAATTCTGATATGACGGTTCTGATGGTGGGACTCGATTAACATTTTTAGTAACAATAATTGCAGGGTCTATAATTAGTCAAAGCATATTGACTAATTATAGACAAATAAAACCAACATGTTTGAAAACCATATTTCAACAAAATAAATATTCATTTTCCAGTGTTGCAAATGTGAACCCCCATTGGGCCCTCACTCCAGACACACACAACAAATAAAGCGATTACCGTAATTGCATTAAATGTTCAACACTATAAAATATGTCATTAAATAATCAAATATAATGTATTAAGTCAAACGCATCACACATTGTGTGGCACAATACGTAATTATTCAGGTGCATTTCATGACTGAACTCCATAGTCAATAAGTTTCTGGTTAACAAATTGACTACAGTTCTAGGACAAAGTCTAATTATTTTATTATATTTAAAGAGAAATAGCTATAAACATTAAAGTGTTAATATTCATGTGCTTTGAGGTCAGCACAATGTTCTGCACTGACATATTGCAAATCCCCAAGCTGTGTTACTCTCTCTGGTAACTAAACTAAGGCATCTTGAAGAAATTCAATTACAGTCTCAGAAAATTGTCAGCCAGGAAAAACGCGGCTTCCTTCAGCACCTACAGTGAGTGTCGAAGGCAAACACTCATATTAAAAAACTATTGCTTTACGACTCAAGACATTAAAAATGGTTTTTAAACGTGGTTAAAAAAATTGTGACATCCTAAACAATTCAACTGAAAAACAAATCTTTTCAGAAAAAACAAAAAAAATAAAATAAAAAATGACCTGGTTGCATCATGTACACAGCATTAAACCAATATTGAGCCCATCTTCTACACCCCAATGAGGGGCATAAACACAATGAGGGTTATAGAAGATGGATGAAGGAGCTTTAGCAAACAATTAAGTTTTCTCTGTTTAACAGAAGCATTTGGTACAAAATTAAATAGGAGAAAATGCTTTGATTTTTCTCCTGTTCAAATGAAGATATTGTCATTAAACCTCTCAGGCTCAAATTACTTGCAAAGACTGGCTAAGTCTGCCTGGAGAGGGTTAAAGGTTCTGAGAATCCAAATAATCTAGTAGATTGAGTAACTAAGTGGATCAAAAGTAACTAACAAAACACTTGAAAGTTTTATTTAACTCAATGTGTCTAAATTATACATAGTTCTATACCTTTTTATTCATAATCGCCTTTCAAGACCCTGAAGGTCGGTTTACTGAAACAACATAAAAACACATAATTACTATATGTTGAAAACATCCTCCATGGAAAACAACATCCAAAATACAAATAAACATTTGTGCAGTGATATATAGGATAGCGAGGTCAGGAATATGAGTCTGAATTGGAATGGATTTGAATGAGTGTCTGATGATGGTTTGACAATCTAACCCAGACTTAGAGAGCAGAGTATCTGAAGGACCTGAGCCCCATGATGGACAGATGGCTATATGATGTAGAGAAGAGAGTTTAAAAAAAATGTACAAAGGGTGAAAGAGGAGCGCTGTTATAAGGGCTTTGAAAGTTACCAGGAGGATTTTGAACTCAATGTAAAAATGAATAAGGGGTGAATGAAGTCACTTGAGGACAGGGTGCAGCGGCAGCCAAAGCAGAACATATCAACATTTCTGTTTGAAATGGCAATGATTTCTAAAACCCTGAACAAGTAAACTTTACAAAAGAGGCATATACTATTGTTTTGCTTTAGTTTCTAAGACACAGCTGAAACAAGGCTGTTTCCTAAAACTACCCCAGAGGTCTTAATGAATGCTGTGAATGAATTTTGCTCTTTCAGCAGATTTGCAGTG